GCAAATATTGTTTTCAAAAACCATATATAAGTTTATATTACAAATTACAATAAACATTTTCATTTTAAAATTTAAATCATTTAAATCAGGGTTAAATTTAACCACAGTGGCGCCATTATTGAATCATTTAATATTTGTTGATATTAATATCGATTAAAATAAACCACAGATTTTATTATAAATTAAAAATTATAATTTTTTTTTTAATTTCTATTATTTGATATAAGTAAGTATAATTGTCTTAAATATGAGCAATCTCAGTAGCTAAACGCAATGAAATTAATTTAAACGAGAGCAATTGACATGACTTGTAAACGAGGGCGTCATAACAAAATCATTTCCTTTTGCTTCATTACAATCGCTTATTAGCTAATCTGATTCATTGTCATCACTAGTTGCACGTTCATTCGTTTTTTAGTTCATTTATTTACTCGATTCCATTGCCTCCGGTAAACAAAGCATAAACGGAATAAAAGTGAGTAAGTGACTCATACGACACGGTCACCCCGCTATTTGATGAGGCTGCAAAATATGAACTTTCTTCTTTTGAAAATAATAAATGCTCACCAGCTACAGTTCTTTCTTTGTTGTTGCTATTATTATTATCTTCATAATTTTTGTTGTTGTTATTGTGTAAAAAATTTTATAAAAAATTCTAATGCGTCTCATATTACTTCCCTTAACCGCAATATTATTGCTTAAATAAAAATATTTAATTTTTATGATTTGTCGATTTGAATTATTCAATAGTTGGATTTTGTACCGTGTATAAGTCAAATGCTGAGTGATCAGTTGTAATTATAAGTAGTTTCGCTATAACTGAAACAAGTCTCTCTCAAGGTCTGGCTACAAATGTAGTCGTATATACGAATATACGAAGTGTAATAGAGAAATATATGATTATTTCATGTAAATTTATTATTCATACACATTTCAATATTATAACATTTAATGCATATTTTCTTACTTTTTATTTATTTTCTTATTTATTTCCACTATGATTAAGATTTTAGTTAGGATACTCAGTTTCTAAAAAGAAGTATCAGACTGTCTAAAATGCATATTAAAAGCAAATATTCTTTAGAAAGTTAAAAATAAGATTAACTCTGAATTAATGGAATTTCGTCTGATTAATCTATACTTAGTATATAATTTAAATCTAATTTACCAGAAAAAATTCGGTTTAACTCTGAATTGTTGGAATTTCGTTTTTAGGCTGATTAATCTATAGTTCGTATATAATGTAAATCTAATTTTTAATTTCAAACTTTTTTTTTTTAAAAATAATTCATACATTTATTTACTCATAAGCCAGTAGAATAAAGTAAGTTCTTAGAAAAAAATAAAGTAAGTTAGATGTGTTATTATATGTAGGTCATATGATGTTTATGAGGAAAATGATTAATGTTTGTGATAAAGAACATCTTCAGATTTATATTCGTTTTAAGAAAAATTAGAGTTAAATTTAAAATATGAAATCATATAATTATATATACCAGTATGCTGTAAGCGGTTCAAATTCAGTATCTTCTGTCTTTTAGTTCTTTCCGAGACATAGAAAGCAATGCTTATGTAGGATTTGTGTTCGCATTTGTGTTAGTAAAAACTTTACCCACATTTTTAGTTATCTATGCCATAAAAAAAACTAGAAAGGATACATTCCACTTAAATAGTTTTCAAAAAAACAAAAAAAAAATGGAACGAATATGATGTCGTAAAGGTCGTTAAAGGGAATCCTACTAATTTCTCTTAACCTATTTTTATTTATATATGTTAATAAGGTAGTAGATAGAAGGTAGTCAAAGAGACATTCAATTGATTTCTTTTAACTTATTTATATTTATATATGTTGTTATATTTATATATGTTGTCATTAAAAGGGATCCTACTGATTTCTCTTAACCTATTTTTATTTATATATCTTGTTTAGAATGTAGTTTAAAAAAGCTCCTAACAATTTCACTTAACTTATTTATATGTATATGTTGTGTTAAAGGTTGTTATATTTATATATGTTGTCATTAAAAGGCATCCTACTTACTGATTTCTCTTAACCTATTTTTATTTATATATCTTGTTTAGAATGTAGTTTAAAAAAGCTCCTAACAATTTCACTTAACTTATTTATATGTATATGTTGTGTTAAAGGTT